CACACACACACACACACGCATACACAGTGATCTCTGTCGATACGCAGAAACATGTTCTTCGTCATCCTTTCTCACTTTTGTTTTTTTGTGTCTTAAAGTACCTCTTTACTTATGGCACCCTTTGGCATTCTTCTCCTTTCTCGCCTATTATGCCTAGCTTTCTTTATTCCTTATGTTTACCTTTTATTTCTCTGACAAATAATTCAATATTTCATTTACTACACTGAATTTTACAAAACAAAACAAGATGAATGATAAAGTGGCACATTATACAACATATTGTACGTTCATATCCCTACTCAAATCTAAAGTTTGAGCAAGATTGATAAAAAAAAAATACCGTCTCTGAAGCCAATTCTGTATTAAAATGGAGAAATAGCTGACTGGCACGAAGTAAAAAACAAAACAAAAAAACAAAATGTGAAAACAAACCAGGTTGCAACAATAGAGAGGAAGTTGAACGATAAAATAAAAAGGCTGCCGCTGAGCTGAGAAAGGGTTGAGTGAATTAAAAATTTTAATGCATCTTTCTCTTTAGACAGAGCCTGAAGGACTGACTTTTCTTGACAGACTGGCCTGACCTGAAGTGGTCATTAGTTACCTCTTTCCAGCCAAGTGGAGTTAAATCTCGTACACCAGAAGAAGAAAAAAATTATTGAAGATTTTCCTACTGGACTTTTGGAAAAGTTACCAGCCGCTGAGCGACAATTATTTATTTTTGCTGAAAACTGAAAATCAAATGAATGACAGGAATTCCGGTGTTCTGGAAGAATTTAGCAAACAAACGAACATACAGTATGTAAGACAAGCAGCTTTAGTTTTGAGGTTTGAGGTTTTGTTTTGTTCTTCTTTGTTTGGTTGTTGTTGCTTTTTGTTGTTGTTGTTTTTTTTAATATTAATTTACATTTGCTTTGTTTTGTTTTGTTTTTTTTTGTTGGGTTTTTTTTGCGGGGGGTGGGTGTTTTTGTTGTTTTCTTATTTTGTTTTTGGTTTGGCGGGAGGGTTGGTTTGTTGCTTTTTAATCTATTTTTATTTTTAATTGTACTATTTTTTAAATTTTTTAAAAAATGTATTTATTTATTTATTTTTGCTTGGCACGGTCTTGGAGACGGCTGTGCATTTTTTTGGAAACACTTCCTGAGAAAGATTGACAACGTTTTTCGCCTCCAGTCAATACAGTTCTGATCTTTGATAAGGTGAAGATGCTTCAACTCTGTCTGTCAAGCTCAACATACACTGAGTGGGACACCTCACCCGAACAGACAGATGGAGGTACTCGATAAAATACCATCCCCACAAAGGAATCGAACTCACATCTTCATTTTCAACTAAAGAAAGAGCCTAACAATGACCCACTACTCCGCCTCTAAGAGTTAAGTGACAAAAAGATTGTCGCCTTCTTAGAGTTAAATGACAAAAAGCGTGTTTCCCAAACTGATTCGGTTTCATTTCCTTGTGTTTTTCAGTGAATGACGTTGTGAGATGATGACCATCGTCTGTCTGACTGGTCGAGGGCACAGACAATCAATGTCTACTGTACTGACGACATTGCTTCTGCTGTCACGATGGAATGGAAGGGGGGGGGGAGCGGGGGAGTGAAAAAAGGGGAAAAGGGTGGAAAGGGGTGAGGGGTGAGGAATGATGATGTACTTGCTTTTGTGCTGCACTGATTCAAGTGCTTGTGAGTGTATTATGATAGAAAGAAGGGAGGCAATTAGAGAGAAAGATAGTGAGAAAGAGAGAAAGAGAAAGCTGGTGAAGGGAGATATAGTCAGTGAGAGGGAGAGAGAGAGAGAGAGAGAGGGG